ATTTAGTTCGGGTGATTTCACTTTCCGAAATCCCAGTTTATGGTCAGTGTGTTGGCATTTCACTCCTCCTCGCCGCAAAACATATAAATTTATATTAAATAATTATGATATTAATCAAACATTTTTTAAATGATCAACTCAGATCCCTTAGGGAAGTTGAAATTTCCATATATGTGTGAAGTCTTTTATTTGGATTTGTCAACGACAAAGTATTTGAATGTTGCCTTACTAAAACAAAATCCCACGTTAAAAAGTCCCCCTTTTATTTTAAAACTTTGAATATTAAATGGTCAATGAATTCACATTCGTCCAATGAATTTCTGTATAGGTATTTTTAAAGAAACCCCTTCACATACGCACTTTCATAACCCATCAAAAAGTACCTAAAACTAAAGTACTAAGTAATTCATTAGAACAATAATTCATTCAACAAAAAGCCTGGCAAATAAGGACATAAAATAATTTATATCCTTAAAACGAAAGTGAAAACAAAAATTTGTAAAATGGAAACTAGTTGAGGTAAGAAGTGTAATCAAAATGAGTTTTCCCTTTCACACGAGGAACGATGAACGAACCCATTAACGCAAAGGAAGTTTGAACAATCCAAACTTTTCATTGCTAGGAATTAAGCAATTTCATTTGCATAGTCATTCCATTCAAAAGAAATGAAAACGAGAGTAAAGAAAGCATGTGAAAGTAATTATGAAGAAGGGGAAGGTGGCGAAAGGAGGGAAGGACATAACTAGATGAAATAACAACTTAACAGCAAAACTGCAATTAATTTTTACTCTCGACTACATTTCAATCAAGAACTCGTACGTTTCCATAATTTAGGCAATTTTTTCTCCATCCACTGTCGCTGCGGCTGTGGCTGTGGCACTAATTTCTTTTTATTGCTTTTGAACTACTTGAGTCGTCGGGAAGCGTTCAAAACCTAAGCCAACAGCAATGGCCGCCTGTCGTTTCAATTGCTGCCAAGTGTGTGAGTTTCCACAGAAAAACAAATAAAAGTACGACGCCTTTTTTTTACTGCTTAGTAGAGCTTGAGAGCTTGTACCTCTTCTTTTTCACTGATTGTATTCTTTGTTGTTTGCTTTTTGTTTTTCGTTTTTGTTTTTGTTTTTGTGTGTGAACGTGTACGAATTCCTTCATGTGACCAACTTTGTTTGTTTTCACACACAAAAAGCTGAAAACTGAAAGCTGAAATCCTTTTCGACATCAAATTTGTGGACATTTTATTATCGTGTACGCACAAAAACCAAAAACCGAATAACAACAAAAAGGTTAAAGAAATCTATTATCAGTGAAATATGTAGGACAACATTTGAATTCGCCGTAAACATTAGAAGAATCGTGCGCAAAAGCGCTCTTTAACAGAGTGTATGTTGCTCTTAAATTTTTAAGTTAGCAGATAATGTTACTGACCTATGTTAGTTGGGCTCTGTTGTGTTAGGGCGCTGTTTAAGTTTTGTATAGAATATTTTGTAGTTTTGTTGAGGTTGTAATTTTTTGAAGTTGATCTGAGGTAAATAAATTAAAAAAATATAAATAATAATTTTAAAAATTAAAAAAAAAACTAATTAAATTTTAAAGGATGATTATATTTAATAAACACTTTTTTAAATGAAATCTAAATAAAAATGTTTAATTATATTCACTTAAGGGCTGTGGTGTGAGTCAAGTAAATTGATTGGTAAATGTGGGGAAATGTAAATTTAGGGTCGAATGCAAAGCGAATCCCTGGTATTTATAAGCAAGTTCGAAGTAAGGTAAATTGATAAAAATTGTAAATTAGGTGTTCAAAAAATAAATAAATAATAACTTTAACTAAAAAATAAATAAAATAAATGCCAATAAATAAATATTACATAAAAAATGCAGTGTAATCTTAAGAAAAGTTTTAATTACATTACCGTCCTCAATCGAACTCGCCAACGAACTTAAAGAAAGAAATTGGATAGAGAAAAATATAATGAAAGAAATTAAAAGTTATTGATGTTTTATTTAATACTAGGTGACCCCGCGAACTTCGTACCGCGTAACAGTCAATAAATGTTATATTAAATTATAGGTAAACTAAATTTAGAAATTTATTAACGTAATAAAATGAATACAAAAAATTTATTGTATTCAATAGTTTATTAGGATATTGATATATAATTAATTATTTGAATGGTTTGTCAGCAAGAACCTATGGGTTGCACTCCGATTGATTCTCTTCAATAAAGAACCTTGTGATATACGATATTTTTTGTTTTTTTATCAGGCGCAAGAACAAATAAAGCAGATGGTTTGCCTACACGTGAACATGCCACGTACAATTGACCATGTGAAAAACATGCATTTTCTAGATTCAGACCACAAACACTAAAGGATTGGCCTTGTGATTTATTTATAGTCATAGCGAATGCAAGCCGAATAGGAAATTGAATTCGTTTAAACTCAAAGGGCATATCGATTGAGATCATTGGAATCCTCGGAATGAGAACTTCATCACTTCTGAATTTTCCGTTGAGTATCATTGCGTGAATCACATTGGCCATCAGTTTTGTTATCACTAAACGCGTTCCATTGCATAGTTTTGGTTAGTTTAGATTTCGAAGCATAATGTCTACCGAACCAATCTTTAATTGTAAATTGTACGGTGGTAAACCAGGCACATCCAAGGAGTTCAAAAATTCAGTTGGATAGTTGGTAGCTTCTTCTTCGTTTGTTACACAGTCAATAGATTTGAATGTATGCAGAGTACCAACGATTTGATTTTGAATTACAAAGCTTAAGTCATTCACATCTTTGTTCTTAGCTGCCAAAATTGCTCGCTCACTCAACCATTTTTTGTTTTTATGATTATCAATGATGTTCGGAAATACTTCATTGATGAGTTCGTCTTTTGATGAGACGAAATTGCAAAAATTTGAAGGAAATGCAATTAATCCGCTCGATTCTTCAACAGCTACACGGCCATTACCGATTAACAGCAATTGCTTGGAGAACTCTTCAGCAGATGCATCGTTTACCAATGCAACTCTCATGTTTGTTACCAGCTGAAGTTTCTTCACATAGCGCCAAAGATTTGATGATTTAAGGCAAGCATTTATTTCGTCAGCAGCAGTCGATTTTGGAATGACTGGGAGTGTTTGACGAAAATCGCCAGACAGTAAAATCAGTGCGCCTCCAAAACATCTGGAGTCATTGCGAAGATCTTTCAATGTTCTGTCAAGTGCTTCTAATGCGCGTTTGTGCGCCATTGTGCATTCGTCCCAGAAGATAATTTTAGATGCTACTAAAACTTTAGCCATTGCAGAATACTTCGCAATATTACATATCGGTTGCTCGGTAGTTTGAAGGTTTAACGGCAATTTTAACGCTGAATGAGCCGTACGGCATCCTTCTAACAATGTAGCCGCTATTCCAGAAGAAGCAACTGCTACCGCAATGTCGGATCTCGCACGAACAGTGGAAAAAATTAATGACATGAGGAATGTTTTACCAGTTCCACCGAGGGCGTCCATGAAAAAAAGCCACCATTTTCTTCATCAATCGCTTTCATTAATGTTAAACTTCCTTCTGTTGCGGATTCAATAGAGGTACATTAGTTTGAACTGATTGGTCTAATTCATGTCGATCATATTCACGTTCACGTTCCAATTCTCGATTAAATGCGTTATTTATTCCACGATCAGGAGCTGGCATTCCTAATCTGACAAACAAACTACCGCACGTATGGTAACATATGTCTTCGATCAAGAGCAAAGCCTGATTATGCATTTCATCATTCACCTCAAGATCGGGATTTCTTGAACTGACACGAATTCTATGTAAAATGTCTTCTGACATGTTATCCTTATATTTGTTCCACAGATCACGTGGATTCGATGGTGTATTGATAACAATATTTATTTATTATATTTGAATTTATTATATTTGAAATTTGAAATATTTGAAATATTTGAAAAAAAAATTTAAAAAGAAATCAATATCACTAAAACTGTCGAACTGTCAACAGTTTGAAATAGCATTTACAAATTTATTATTTTTGCTAAAATTAGTGGATTTTTCCAATATTTTATAATGTATTCTGCTATTCGGAGCGGAGACGATTCCAACAAATCAAAGATAATTAAAATCGGTTTAGCCGTTCTTGAGTTATGAGTGGTGTAACTAACACAACTCTTTCTTTTATGTATATAGATTATATATGTACTTACTTAGCTATTATAGACGTCGGTTGATTTTGTCCTCGTCTAGTAAAATCCGCCAACCAAACCGATCACTGGCTAGCTGGTGCCAGGTGATAGCACTGAGTGCCTTCAAAATATTGGTCACCTAATCTTTTTAACGAAATTGCGAAGAAACTCTATCGAATGTTTTACCAGTGAGCACAGAATCAAACACATTCCTACCAAAAGCACTTTCGTTCATTCGCACGACATCACCAATTCAATGGAGCTGCTGTATTTGGATGCGCTCAACTATGTTACTTTCTCCATCCTCAATAATCCGCATATGCTTCATCTTGCTAACGAAGTATATTATTAGATAGTTTATTGTGCACAATAGAAGGTGCTCTATATTAAATTTACTTTCTGGTCAAACCGAAGAAGTGGGCTAGCGCGATAAATATAATAATATAATATATATAAATATAACTATATATATAAAATATATATATAAATTAAATAAAAAATATTTTTTTAATACGTAAACTTCTGTTAGGTTCAAATAAAAAGTTTTTGTCTGATTTTTTTAAAACAAAAAATACACAACATGATATATTTATTATTCATATATTTAAATTAAAAATTTATTATCTCTAATTTCATATTATGCTTATCAAGCAAAAGTATTTGTTCCTTTAATTTGTTTATTTAAATTAATGTAGTAATTATTGTGGTTTACAACATTTAACAGAAGTATTGTGGAAATGCTAACTTAACAGTCCTTATTCATTTATTATATGTTCTTACGGTTACTGTTAATAACATTAAATAAAGAGTTCCCTGAACTAATTGTTATTTTGATTATGTTATCAACTACAAACGTAAAAATGTTTGTTTTAATAAAAGTAAGTTAATATGTTAATCTAAGGTTAAAATAAAAAAAAATAAATAAAAGAAAACATATAAAAATGTAAGTAAAATAATAATAAAATCTCTACAACAAAAACTAAATACATAGAAGTTATTAACGTCGAGTTACAATATTTATTGTATCAATCATCTTGAAGAACTTGCGTAAAATGTACGGATGGTAGATCGTAGATCAAATGAGATATTATTAAATAGGTGTGAGACTAATATCAGTGCCCTTTTAGACCCTTTTGACCACACTGCTTAAAGCCTTGAGGTAGAAGCCAGCTTAATTTGTTACCCTTCACATTGAGGAGGAGCAGGTCCATTCGCTACAAATTTCGAGCATAGAGTTAACTCGTTGCTTAGTTATTCCTAACAAGTA